CTTCTCTTGTGGAGATTAACTTAAAAATGAAAATATGTAGCCCAGTCCAAACTGGATTTGTTTGTTTGATTTGCTATTCATCAGTTCAAAGTTTTTTTTTTGTTTTTTTTTTACTTTGTCATAATGTTAGAATTTATTTAACCTTCATCATGTTGCGATGTGGGTTCTGCATAAAGTCTGGCAGTAATCAAGTCTGGGTATGGCTGCTGAAGTTGAACTAAAGTGTCCACAATTTACTAAGTGGAAGGGCTTGGTTGGTTTGGATAGCTTTGTTTTTTTTTTATAAAGTAAACTTGATAAAAAAAATATATTATTTACAAATTATGTTTATCTGTTTTCAAATTAATCAATCGCTATTTGTATATAGAACCCGAAGCAGAAAAAAAAATCTGCTCTTACATTTCTAGAAATAAATTTGAGCTTTACTATGAAAAAACAAAACAAAAATCTGTCATTTTATAATTTTAAGGTGCCATTTTTGTCATTGGCTGTTCCGCAACATATAGAGCACCACAAAAATCTTTAGTTTAATCTTTTCATTACTTTAGCTATTCATTTTAGTGATACTGAGCATTTTTCCTAAAATAAGAGTGGCTGTAAAACTGTCCAACATGGCAAACATGCCTTATCCAAAATTGAATCATCTGTTTAAATGGCTGCTCAGTTCCAGATAAAGTGTTTTTAATGTCTGAAAGAGTGGCACCCAAAAAGGTATCCTATTGAACAATCTGGTTAAGCTTGAAATTTATGTTTCTACTTGATAACAAGTGTAGAACTGGGACATAGGTATGTAAACGTGTAAGGTTTCCTTTTGTCAAAATTTTTCAGAAATTTGGATTTAATTAAAACGTGACGTGTTAAGCTGCAAAGCTTTCGATTAAAGTGAAATCAAACCAGTGTTTCTGTGTTCACCACTGCGGGAAACTAAATTAAGAGTTTAGTCTTAACCTGTTTATGAAATGTAGAATAAGATTAGATAATCTAGATTGAGAGAAGTTAAAATCTGACCAGAACCACTTAAGATATATTGTATGTATATCATTATAGAACCATTTAGTTTTTTGTTTCAGAGAGAACGTGTAAAAAAGAAAAAAAGTCATCTATGTTTTATATAATCAAGCTTTTTTTTGTATTTTTATACTTGAAGAGGATTCATAAGCATGTGACACATTCTGTAAATTCTTTATTTTTCTGAGTTAAAAGATTTTATTTTTTCTGCAAGCCATGAAACGAACCATGATCACACGTTGCCGTAGAAACCGGATGCCGTTGCTAATACAAACTGTAAAATAGTGGCACTGCATTTATTAAAAAAAAAGCACATGAAACGCTCCCGTCACTTAGGAGACGTCCCGTTTATAGATGTTTTATTCTATTCTAACCAACAGTGTGTGAGATTATACAAGTTCAAGTGTTAATCGATGGTTTCTTGATGAATGTGTGATTGTTCAATCATATGTGGATGTTCAGATCATGTATATAAACCCAAATATATTGAATTCATTTTAATGTGATTTCCTTTTTATATATAAAGGTGGAAAAATACTCCAGAATGGCATGAATACTGTAAACATTCCTGAAAAATCTGCACGCCGACTGAACTGACATCTCATTTTAAATCTGTGTATACCTGTGAGTGTACCATAGAGTAAAGAAAACTGTACAGCGACATATAGATTTTTGTATTCTGTTTAAAGCCCTTATGTCAGAATAAATCAAGAAAAAAAATGACTGAATTTTATGAAGAAAGATACCTAAATTATATTTATCAACTAGAAGCTGTTCCTTCAGTTTGTTTGAAAGTGATGCTTGCTGTGTGGGGTAAGTGTTGTTTGTGAACTGTGACCAAGAATGATCAACTACTACAATATACTGTAAGTAAAATCCAACTAATCTGTGCAGAACGAAGCACAAATATGATACTGGAAAAAAACAAAAAAAGTTGCTGCTTTGTGTGTGAAAATTCCAACAGACAGGTCACTGCTTTTGTACGTTCCTGTTGTGTTTTTGTGACAATAAAGGTGACCCTCTGATACACAGCATCTGTCCAATGCTCTGTTTATTGCCTCATTTTAAAGAATAATGTGCTAAAAGCACAATATAAAGGCCTGACTGGACCTTGGGACACTCGCCATTGATAACCTGGATCAAATATTTTGTTAATACATCACAATTACTTTTGGATTTTATACAATTGTTAATACAAGAAAAATCAAAACATGAGTGCAAAAGTTGTCCAGTCGCTTTTATTTAAACGTAAAATTAACAAAAACTTTTCGTTTGATTATCAAATGTTTAAGTTGAAATGTAAGATAAGATTATTACTTTTTAAGTGCTTGCAGATACATCTCAAACTTGAATATATTGTTTTTATATGTTTAAAAATGACATGCTTTTATACATCCCAGCATATTTCTAAAGTTTATTGAAGTTTATTTTTTATAATAAGCTAATGAAAACCCCATTTTCCCCTTTTTAAGGCCAAATGATTTGTTATCATCTACTTGTTGGCAAAGATGGCTGACATTTGTCTATGCAGTCATGAAAACCTTCAAAGAGGAACATGGAAAAAAAAACAAAAGAACACTAAGGCTAGCTATTGATGACTTCTTGAGCTCAGGAGGTTGCATATTTCCAGAGGAGTTTTTGACCATCTACAACGCAGTCATTCAGACTGTTTTTTGTCCATCCATCACTGTGAGGTTTGGATAATCTACAAAACAGGAAAGATCTGAAATACAATAAAAACCATTGAGACTTTACCTGCATCCAGGATGTGTATTGCTCTAGATGTAAGCAAATTGTAGCTGGTATTTCTGCATGGTGCTCATCCATCAAAACTATTTATCTTAACTGTTTATAATAAATTAATATTTGTGGATTTGTAAAAAAAAAAAAAATCAATTTAAAGAAGACTGAAGTTGATAAGGTTTCGATCCTCATGCATGCAAGACAAAGAACTTTTTGTTATCTAATTTTCTTTTAATCTTTTTTCTTTTTTTCTGTAGACATAAATCCCTGAATAGCAGTCAGTGATGAAGCTTCTGATCTTCTCTACTTATCCAATGGATCACTCATGTTTGCTGTCAGATAAGAGCTGTTTTTTAGAAGGTTAAAGAAAGAAATGAAGGATCTAATTAATCTAATTGGATCTAATTGAATTTTTGTTGGTAAAAAAATATTGAATTTTTCTTAAAAAGTTTTTTTATCAAGATTTTATTTCTCTGAGTCAGTTTCTGATCCAGTTATCTCTTTTTAACCCTGTTCTATTCAAAGCTGCTCATGTGTCTTTTGATAAAGATGTAGGACTTATTCTCTGTTTAATAAAAAATTTGTGTTTGATTGTTTAACAGATGCCCCGGGAGTTTTAATCATGTTGACTGGAGTTTTCCCCTCCAATAATTACATGTGAATGTCTAACACCCGAAATCTAATCAAATATGTGTTCAGTTGAAACAGATTCAGAGCTCAAATTAGCTCAGCCAGTGATTGTGCAGATAAGATGAAAGTTTAATGACCTCAGAAAAGTAGCAGGACAAAGATCAAGATCCAGTGCAGTTTGGTTATGAGGAGAAAAACTTGGTGCATTTTCTTTTCATAAAATGCTTCCTCTGCAAATCTTCATCCCTGATTTTTTTTTTCTGCCTGTAAAGGAGTTGTTCAGTCATATTGTTATAGTGATTTAGTTAACTGCCAGTTACTCTGCACTTTAATGTAATAAATTATACTCCTGTATAAAATGAGCTTTCCCAGGATCAAACTAATTAGCATATTTCTCTTCATTAATAGAGGAGAATAAGAATAATCATAGATTTCTTTTTAATACAGTTGTCAAACTTACCAAGAGCCATAGCTCTGTTGAACTGTCCATCTCCCCAAATCTTAGAAGTAATTTCATGTAATTCTTTATAGATATTCATAAATAATTGGTTCATCTCAGGAAGGTGTGGCAGCATCTGATGTAACGTAAGAACCTGAACTGTGTTGAATTTTTTAATTCAGTTGAGTTTTCAGAGTTGGCCAAACTATCTTTATCTAAGCCCTCAATGTGTATGATAGATCAAATTCCATCAAAGGTTTTTAAGGAAGTATTCGCTCTCATTTCAATTTCCATTTTACTGTAGTTAGGAATTATGTATCCATAGTACAGCCTTTCAGAATATCTTAAATTAAATCTGTAGTTAAGAAACTGTCTCTTAATTCATAGGAATTGGTTAAATACAGATATATTTAATCTTCCTATCTTATTTAAAATCATAGGAAAATAGTAGCTAACAATTTGTAGGAATTAAGGGAACAGTCCTTGGATGGTTTAAATCGTATTTGTCTGACAGATTTCGGTTTTTACATGTTGATGATAAATCTTCCTCATGCTCCAGGGTTACCTGTCGAATATGACTAATTTCCACTGTAATGTGGATGATACTCAGCTATATTTGTCCATAAATCCTGATGAAACTAGCCCATTAAATAGACTACAAGCGTACCTTGAAGACAATGGACAATTTTTTTTGTGTTTTTTTTTTTTTTGGACTCATGAGATCTAGTTTCTGTAAGCATTGAAACATCTTTTTTATTTTCTGCAGCTTCTCTGAAAGAGGAAGATGATATAAAATAAAAAAAGTAAAAGTAAACAGATACATGTTTGGATCATTTTATTTACAGCGCTTTTTTGGAAATAAATCTTATGCCATTAAAATAGACGGTTTTCTTATCTTACTTTCAAAACAATGTAAGGACAACAAAAACTGCTGCAAGGATAAAAGGAAATGCATGTATCACTGCAAGATATAGCATCTGTAAGAGAAAAAAGTGTTTCATTTGCTAAAATTATTTAATGTATATATTATGCAGAACCATAATTTATTAATTTAGACAGCATGGATGTATTAATATATGTATATTTATTAGCAGAGACAAAATTTTCAGTAATTTATTAGGAAAATTTTAATATTTTGTTAATTCTCTTTCCTATTGGTGAAATAAAAGAATACATACAATTGACAGTAGTATAAAATACTTTATTCAAACCTGAGGCAAAGCAGAAATTCAGTATTAAAATAATTTATTAAAAACTTCAGTATAGTATATGAAAACTGTCCTGCTTTTCCTTTATTGTTTGCTTTCCGTTCTGATATCTGTGAATCATTAATGAAGTCCCTGCATCAGATTTCAGCTGAGTGGTTCACTCCTCCATATAATTGTCCTTATTATCTCAGATGACTTCCAGCATCATTAACATCCAGTAGATAATATAATGTATTCTACATTTCTTTCTATGAACTCTGCAACATTTCTGCAAGAAGCAGGAAATCTTCCTACGAAGCTATAGCTGTGACTTTGTTTTTGTCACCAAAATATGAAAACATGGATTAAAACGTTTCCTCAAATATCTAACATTTTTACTAGTGACTTCCCAGTGTTCAGAGGGAGATATCTGAAGACACTTGAAGCTGTTGACCTGGTTTCCACTTGGAGCTCTGACGAGCGCCATCCATCCGTCTGTATGGCTGATTCCTTAAATCTGAGATGAAAAAGAAACACAAAATTTAATAAAGTGCTTCAAAGCAGAAGCTTTGTAAAACATTGGATGTAATGGATGGAGTAATTTCTCTCTCATATCATTCAGTCTTTTATCCAGTTGTGTCGTACACCAGACTTATTATTTTGAGTTGTAACCTAGAATATATATACAGTATATACATACATACATATATATACAGTATATACATACACATATATATATATATATATATATATATATATATATATATATATATATATATATATATATACATATATACATATATATATATACATATATATATATATATACATACATATATACATACATATATATACATACATATATATAGCTGGGTTGCCCTAGTCCAGTCCTTGAGAGCTACTATCTTACAACTTTTAGAGGTGTCCCTTGAACACACCGTTATTGATTTCACATTGAAGAAATTTACCCCTGCATTTAACCTATCCCCTTGGGCAGCAGTGGGGCTCCCAGGGAGCAATCAGGGGCTAAGGATCATGCTAAGAGAACCAGAGTGGCATTCTGTGGGAGTGGGTTTTGAACTCAAAACCTCAGGATTCCAAGGTCTATGCCCTAACCACTAGGCCGCCACTCCCCCTAGTAATGAGTTGCTCATTACAAGGCCTCTAAACGATTTAGGAAATAAAGCATTTCGATTCAGTTGTGTTGGAGAAGAGACGCATCTTAAAGTTACAGGATGATAGCAGTTAGGGATTGGACTTGGAGGTCTCTGATTTAGAGGCTCAGGAAGCATTTGCAGATGTTTTCAGTTAATTAGCTGATTAGGCTACGACTTCAAAAGTTTCCAACATTTTCTTAGATACCTAAGTCTTTGTAAGCTTTAATAATGCCTTTTAAAAGAAATAAAGGCTCTGGAAATTTTTCTTTTGGTTATAACCATTTAATTGATTTGCACAGTGCCATACCCTTAATGATAAACAAAACCCATACAACTATTGTTACTGTGAACTGAATGTAATAATAATAAAATTTTACAAATTTGTTCTGATCACAGTTTTCTGTGTTTTCAGTTGGCAGAAAACTGCCCGAAAAAAAACAAAACACTTCATAATCTTAAATATCACTCAAAAGATATGTTCCTTTTTTGGATTATCTTTTAAATGTTCAGCTTTAATCAAGTAAAAAGAAAGCTATTCTTTTCAGTCAATACAATTTTCAACCCCTTTAGAGCAGGGGTCTTCAACATTTTCCCCCCAACAGGGCCCCCAGACTGATGGCGAGATGGGGCGGGGACCCCCAATGATATATATTGTATGAAATTGTATTATATCAAACTGGTCCTATAGTCAGTCTATTACATATGGAGTAATGTAACAAAAGTAATTCCTCCCTGGGATTATTAAAGTATATCTGATTCTGATTCCCAGTTGATGGGACAGGTGTTGTGAATGAAACGGTCCCCAGCTTGAAAGAGCTCCTGTGTGTTGCTGAATGTGTGCTTTGATGACTGAAAGACATCTTCTGCCTCCATTTATCTGTTTACTACAGTGTGTTGAATTCGTGTAATGTGTATTTGAAGACATTTCAGTTAGTAGAAAAAATTGCAGAGGGGAATATAAAAAAAAGTCTAATCAACCAAAACTTTCTTGACCCCCATGCAATACCTCCGTGGACCCCCTAGGGGTCGTAGACCCCCAGTTGAAGACCTCCTCACTGCATGAAAAGTGGGATTTTCGTCAATATGCGGCACTGTAGATTGTCGTGGAACTTCAGGTTAGCGGCAGTTTACGACAATTTGCAGGCTTCGCCGAAAACTCCCGTAAATTGTCAGAAATTGACGTGGACTTTCTTAGGCAGTGTTCCCCCCATGCCTCCCCCCCATGGAATTCTAGGGGAGGCTTTAACATGTAAATGAACATGCTGTGAGCTATACAAATGCAAATCAGGGTTGCAGGGGGGGTTTTAATCCAAGTGACATTTTTCTAAAAGGTAAGAAAATCTCTGATACAAAGAGATCAGGCTCAGTATAGCCTCTTACATTTTAGCTTGAATTGATTTATTTAATTAAAGTATAGAGACCAAAACAGATCTTTAGCTGACAGAGCAATACATTTAGAGCAGTAATTATAAAAAAAAAAAAATTGCATTTAAGATAAAAAATAAAATGTTGTCTGTCAATATGCTCAATTCACAATAACTTAAGTGGAAAAGTTTCAAGAAATGAGTCTGAGATGATTCACTTTATAACATGGCGCATTATCCTGTTGGAAGTAGCCATCAGAAGATTGGTACACTGTGGTCATAAGGTCCGGCCAGGTCAAGATCCGCAATTGCAATCGCACCAAACAGGAAAAAGAACATCGACAAATTCCGGTTCGTCAAATTAAAATATAGCAGCAACAGATCGGTGACTAGAAATTATAGCACAATTCTTATATATATAAAAAAAAAAAAAAACTAACACCGTTTATTTAAATGATTGGATCCAAACTATTGGTTATTCACCAACGAGGAAGCAGATTTCTCATCTCCATCAAAATATTTATTTTATACCGAGGGACTTAAACTTTAATCAAATCCATTCAAAAGAAACTTCTTATTACAGGAATGAAAAGAGATGTTTGGGAGAAGAGAACAAGTTCATTCAAAAAAAGCAGTTTTGAATTATCCTTATCCCCGTTACAAAAATCTACAAAAATATAAATATATATTTGGGCAGAAACTGAACATATGCTGGATGATGGTGGGATTTTTTTAATATGTCATATTAAATTAAGCGCTCACAGGGTTCATACAGGAATGAGTGACTCTAATTTAATGCTATTTTAATGCTTTTGAAATGATTTTAATGCCATCAACAAGAACCATGTACACAAGTTATTAGTGTACATGAAATATGAAGGAGCTGCAAGCACAGTTCCATGACTCCTGTATGTATGTAAACACACACACACACATATATACGTATATATATATCCTCTAGCTTTTTCTCCGCCTGGAGCGATATAATATATCTGACGAAATTGTTTTTATAAGCATTTTTTATTAAAGAATTATAAATACTTCGATAAACATATTTAAATAATTTTAGTGCCAATTAAGGCCTTGATTTAAAAAAAATGAATGATTTTTTAATTATTTTTATTGATCCGCGGAAACCCTGGTTCATCTCGCGCATGCGCTCTACGATCTCCAAGAAACTCAGAGCGGCGCGGAGGATGTATGCTTTGCTTTGTGCAGGCGGTCTGGAGCGTCTGAATTTCGGGGTAAAACTCCTCTTGGACGCGATGGCGACTCTGCATCGAACAAGACAAACTCAAAGAAGAGATGCTAGCGGTAAATATATGTTCGATTACTGCCTGCTAGGCTAAAAGCAGCCTAGCCTAAGCTACGGCTAATAGCAGTAGCCTTGCAAGAACAAGCTTTATTAAAGTGTAATTTTTGTGATTCACAGGAAGTAGTACGCCGTCTTAACAACTCGGAGACTAATTGCAGGCGCTATGAACCGGAGCAAGGGTAAGATTTAAAGAATATGCTTTCATTCTGCGGTAAAAGGCAATGGATACGGATAGATACCGACCATAGCTTTACATTTTGTTTTCACAGACTACTGTCGCCTCACAATGAGGCGGTGACCTCCTATTTGCTCGGAGCCATATCAGCAAGTCCAGATTTGCACAATGTTGATAAAGATGACATTGTGTGTAAGTGACTTGTTTTAATGTTTTCTCCTTCCTTGTTACTGTGACTTGCGTTTGATTTTTTATTTATACCACTCTCATTTAAGTGTTTTCCAGCTGCCTGTAAGACGTATTTTCAGACGGTACGCAGGAGCTTCAGATATACGCAGCCAGCCAACACGCTGCGTGCGGAGGCAATCTGCTCGGAGTCGGGCCAGAAGAAAGAGGGTAAGACTTTATTTGGTGACTATTTTTCAGGTGCATTAATAGATGTGTTGTGTCCATACGCAGTGCGCTGATTCATTGTTTTTTTTTCAGCTGCCGAAAGCGAGGCAGAGTGTGCTAGCAGATGAGGAAGTGGAACTCTGGAAGTCCGCCTTCCTTGGCGGTGTCTCTGGATGGATTGTACAGTCGCCGCCATTTCGTAGGCCGGATCTCACTGAACTCTGTGTTAAGCTGCAGTCCCGGTTAGAAGCGATGCCGAAGTACAGGGCCACGCACAGTAGGCGTCTGCACATCGGACCTGCCTCGGAGGGAATGCTGCCAGTTACCTCCAACCCCGAGGAAGCAAACGGACCATTCATGGACTTTTAATTTTTAGAAACGCATGTGTTTGGATACGCGTTGTATATAGTTGTGTGTGTGTTTTAATAAAGCTCTTTCTTTGCATAAACAGCTTCCTGGCAAATGTTCATTTCCTGTATAAATTCATTCATGTCCTTGATGGTAGCATAATAATTGTGTAGTAGTGTAGGATAACATAAATACACACCATATGAATGAATAAATATATGAATAAATAAATATATATATATATGAATAAATATATATATATGTATAAATATATATGTAAATTTATATGTAAATATTTATATATGCCAACCAATCACGAGCGACTTTACTTGTTTTGTTGGGATCCTCAGGCTTGCCCACCAGAGGGCGCCGAGGATCCTCTTCTGCTCTCTTTGTCTTTTCTTTAGGGCTGGAGTCACTGTCAGGTTCTGGAGATTACCCTCTGCCTCCAGCAGAGTGCGCCGTGGGTCCTCCTGAGCTGAGCCTCTCACACACCTGTGGCTGATCTACTAATCAGGAGGACCACAGTATTTAAGCTGCTTTCAGACCTGGATTCCATGCCGCAGTGTTGATCTTAGTTGGAATCCTGTCTCCTCGTGAAGCTCTGGATGAGCTTAACCTCCTGTCTCCTCGTGAAGCTCTGGATGAGCTTAACCTCCTGTCTCCTTGTGAAGCTCAGGAGGAGCACCCTCACTGGAACCCAGTCTCTGGTCTGCAGCTCTGGTGGAGCTGCATCTCAGGAAACCAGTCTCAAGCCTGAAGCTCTTGAAAAGCCTAACCAGCTAATCTGCCCTGGTGAGCCAACCCGAAGATTTCTACGTGGATGAAACCTGACGACTTCTCTGTGGAGTTTCCCTAGAGGTTCCCATGTGGACTTCCCCTGTTGTTCCCTACGGTGAGCTGGAAGCTCAGCCTGTAAGATCCCTCGTGTTTTCCCCTGTTGTTTTCTGCAGTAAGCTGGAAGCTAAAACCCAGGACTGCCAGGCTAAGCCAAAGCTAGATGCTTAGCCTAACCTGAACTCTGCTACCAGCCATCTCCCGTTTCCCCGCACAGCCCCCAGAACTAGTCCACTGCCTGAACTGTTTCCACTTTATTATCTATGTGCTTGTGCCTTTAATAAACTCTTTGGACTTTTACCAGTGCCTCCGTGTGTGTTCTGCATCTTGGGCTTACTCTCTGTGACACCCATCATGACATGTTTAAAAAGAAGTGGTTCCGTCCAATACTCAGTAAGAAAATTAAAGCCTGGCGTGGCCACGTGTGGTTTTGCTGCCAATCACGAGCGATTTAATTTGTTTGAGAATAGTGGTTTCAGCCAATACTGAGTAGGTTATTCAAGCCAGACCTGGCCAGCCGCGCGGGTTTGCTGCATTCATATGCTAATTAGGGCCATTAGTACAGCTGATCGCTCTCCACATACGTCAGAGTCCGTTTCCGACAATTTGTGGCACGACAAACACGGACAAGCACGGGTTGCAAATTGTCGGAAACTGACGAAAATCAGGCAGATCTGCGGGAGTTTATGGGGGTTTACGGGGACGAAAATCTCACTTTTCATGCAGTGCCACTTTAGAGGGCTAACAGGTGTTTTCAGTAGTTTGCCATCAACTGCTAAAGATCTCAAGAAGAAGAAGTCCTTGGTTTCTTATCACTGTCACCGCTACTAATCGGATTTAGCAGAGTTAGCCTGGTCGGGGGCAAGATGGCCACGCAGAATAAATAACCACGGTAACTGAAGTGACGTGCTACTGCTTTCTTGAAACCCAGTTGCAGATTTGGCCCAAATATCCCGAAAATCCTGACTTAATCTCATATCTGGTTTCGGGAAATAGGGCCCAGTTCCTGTTGCGAATATAAACATGACCATATGCAGTGCTGATGACGAGCTGGAGTGCAGTGGAGATGTGTCTCTTTGGATTTATGCTGCTTAGCTTTAAAATGTTAAAATTTATTGTAAATATGTAAACATTTTATATATTTTTTTTATCTTGAGATTATATTAAATATTATATCATATTGAAAATGTAAATATTCTCTCCATGCCTCTTAATTAGAGATAGTACAGGACAATGATTTGAGCTCAGTCGTTTAAAACAAGGGGAAAGTGAAATATCTCTATATATTTTTTAATAATAAAATATAATTTATTATATAATATATTATATTATATATTGCAGAGCTCTGCAACATCAGGATCCTGTCTGATGTCTTTCATAGTGCATTTTTGATGTCATGATCATCTTTCACTCTTCAAACTCTACAAATCCTTCAAAATATTCCTTTTGTGAAAAATGTAAACAGATTTTTTTAGAATAGAGCAAATCTTAATATAGAAAGCATTGTTTAAAGTACTGTGGTTTAGATTTAATCACTTAAGCCTGACCAGAGCCAGCTCAGTCATTAAAAGTAGTGAAAAAGGCCATTATTTTCCATGCTTATCAGATAATACCTTACATCAATGTTGATTATCTAGAGTTGTTGTAAATGTACGCAAAGTATTTTTCAAGTATTTTGTCTAAGACTGGGATGAATCCTTTGATACATTAAATCTTTTTATTTTGTAGTTATTTGTGGATTCAAAAGTAGAACATGTCACCTCCTATTGAGTCTCATTAAATGTTTTTTTGAGGCCTCTGCTAGAAATATTATTTTTCTCCAGTTTACAGAGACTAACTGGGTCTTCTGTCTTTTAGATGAACTGAAGTCTCTGGAGAAAACTGAAAACAAATTCTCCCTTCTTCAGAGCTGCTGAAACTCCTGCCAAGATCTAAAATTCTGCATACGTTTGAACTGAACAGTGACAGTTTTCCACATCAGTGAGGCTTTAAAATGTTTTTGCATTACATTAGTTTTCATCCAGGACATATTCTTCTGTTTATTCAGCTTCTTATCCTGATTAAAAAATAAACAGAAGAGCAGCGCTGAGGGTTTCCCCTCACTGTCAAAGACAGAGTCCCTGACAGGAGGAGAATGTTAGAGCAGCATTAAACTCTAGTCATGTAAAGAGTCTTTAAATTTTTTGTTGTTGTTGTTTTTCCCCCATGAGTTGAAGGAGGAATTGATCTATAGGTATCCCTGCACGTCCTCTCTCTTTTTTGTCTACCAAAGGGAAAGGTTTAATGCAATTATAAAAACGTATCAAATCCGCCTCCGATTTAAGCCTGTTTTGTGATCAACTGGATGGAAATGCGACCAAGGTTCTTGGAAACATTATGTTTATCAGGGTTTTATTGACTAAATAAACTAAAAAGCTGTTGAGGGAAATCATTAAACTTTTAGAACATGCTGGTTGGTAAGCTCTGATGACCGGGAAGCATTGACCTTTTACTCACTGCCGGCAGAGTTAAGACACAGAACTCAGGTTGTTTCTTACCGGTGATGATGTCTTCAATGGCGCCATCTTTCCGCTCCCTTATTAGAGGAGAACCCTGTCTCTTCTTCAGCTCTGCAATCAGATCCATCTGAGGTCTGTACATGTTGGAAACCTGAAAGAAAAAAAATCAGTCTCACATTGAACTTTTATTAAAAAGCATTTCTAAGCATCTTTAAATGAGAAAAAAAAATTTTTGTTTGCAATTCAAGCTAATTAGTGGTTTTATGACAGATAAAAAGCAACATTCCTTATCTTTAATGTATGGCACTCATCCTACAAGCAAATAGCTTCTAGAAAATATGTATTTATCTTTTGTTGTTATTATTTTGTTGTTATTTTAATTTTTTACACTTAAGTTAAACATTAGAACATAAATAAAAGCTTCAAAAATGGGTCCCCAAAAATGGTTGGAAACTTTTTTCTATCATTTCATAAATCATAGTGTGGCAGAGGGAACTGTTTTATTATACCTAAGGATAAATTTGTTTTCAAGTATGTACTATTGTCAGCATTTTTCTAAAACAAAACTAGCTGATTCTTTAAAGCAAAATTTTTGATTAGTTTTTAATTAATTTTCAAACATTAAGAGGTATATTGTTTGTGTGATGCCCACAAAGGGTAAATATTGGAATTCAAAGTAGAGCCAGTTTCCAGTTCTGCTGTTTAAGATACTGTATAATACTCTAGGGTTTTTTTAATGTTTTTTTTTAAAACCTAAAGCATTTAAGTGGATAATATCATCATTCAAATACTTGAATATAAAAGTATATAAATATATAAAAACCTCAACTTTTCTAAACAAAAAGAGGTCAAAAAAACACTGTTTCCTATTCATTAATTCACCTTATTTTCTGTGACGCAACCATGCTTAGATATAAATCTCAAATAGGCAGGATATCATATCCAGCTTCTACATACCTGAAATACTGCAGCTGGTAATAATAATAATAATACATTTTATTTGTAATGCGCTTTACATTTAGGAAAAAACCTCAAAGTGCTACAGGTAAAATCATCATAGAAGGGTAAAATCTAAATTTAAAACTAAACATCGCTTTAAAACACTTATGAATAAAATCAATAGCATAATTGTAAAATGTTAAAAATGGTCAGTTCACTACCTTTCCAAAGTGGGTAGAAACGTTGTTTTTTTTCTGCCATTCCTTTATTTTGTCTCTTGTTTCAGTTCAAATGAATAAAATATTCTTAAGTTTCTTTTAATAATATCTAATGAGGGTAATGCATGCTGTAAACCATTAGGTATAAAAAGCTGGGCTGTCACCTTGTTCCTTGAGAGTTCAGGTTTAGGAGGAGCTGACGGGTCATCACCACTTGGCCCGAGTGGTTTCTTTCTGTGCTTGTTTTCCTGCTCTGCTTGCTGCCAGGAAATATTAATATAATATTAATTATATATTAATCAGGCGGAGAACTGCAGATATGCTCACTGTAAATGATGTAAACTTTGTTTTGACCTCCACAGCAGCAGCTTTAATGATCTGACCAATATGTAATATTACACCATAATATGGATATTATAACCTGTTTGTTTAAAATCTGAAGCGAATGAAATCTCTGACCTTGTAAGCTTTGATGAAGCGGAGAAAAACTGTAAAGAACTCTGAGGGTGGAGTCTCCTTTGGATCTTCACCAAAGTACTTCACCACTGATTCGTATGCAGCCTGAAGGCAAAACAAAGAGTAAGGAGCAGAAATTAAAACTGGAACTGTACTGTTTCATTAATATAGACCGACCTGTGCCGTCTTTCCGTCAGTCATCAAAGACTCAAGCAGCGGAGTGTTTTTGTTCAGAAATGTATTCAGAACAGGATTTTCCTCCTCTGCTGAGAACTCGGTCCTGGTCAGCTCCATGCCTTTTTCCAGAGCATTCAGATTCCTCAGGATGTTTTCGAATGAAACTAGCACACAGAAAGAAATGATCCATAATAAAAGCAGGGGTTACCAAGGAATTAAAGAAGTAATTTCTTTTTTTTTTTTTTTTTTTTTCATTTGTTGCACAGTAGACAAGTAATACAGAAACACCTGTTTGGCCAAAGGCTGCAGTGAGGTGGACTAGATCTTTAAGTAAAAGAATGCATCTTCCAAGGAAAGCTTTCCAAGGAAAGCTGTTTACTTTCCACTTTCCAGAGGGAAGGTGGGGCTTGAAACTGGTGCTCAATGCGCCAAACCAAGCATCTTCTCTACTGTTTTATTGAGTTTAAAAGTTGCAGATTTTCTTTTGTTTTCAATGAGCAGCACTGATGGGTGTGTTACATTTCATGATGCCACCTTACAATTTATACAATTGTCATGTTTATCTTGTTGAATTGGCTATGCTATCCCAGCCCCTAAGGCTAAGACAGCCACCATTTCTTCTGCTGTGTTTGCACAGCTCCTTCTGTTCATCATATAAACGGCTGTAGCACCCTGTCAGCACTCATTATCATTAGTTTGAAGCAGAATTTGAAGCAGCCTCAATGATTTGTAATTGTTTTCCTTGATATGTTTTTAATTTTTTATGTACCTATCATTTATTTTAATGTATCTATGTTTAATGTATCTTACGTAACTTTGCTGCCTTTTTTCTTGGTTAAATAAAGGTTAAATAAATAAAAAGTTAACAGAATGGGTTATTTTATTCCAAATACAATAAAAGCCTGAAATGATCTGACAGATAAAACAAAATTTGAGCTAAATGTTCTTGATTTAGTTTATTAAGTAATAAAAATTCCATTTCACTTCAATCAGTTTTAACAGACTCCTGAAATATAATCTAAGAAACAATGACTGTTTAACATTCTATAGTTGTATCACCTTTGATGTAATGTTTTAGTACAAATAATCCCGGTTAGGAAGAATTTGAGGAGGAATCCTTAAAGAAAAAAATCTTCTTGCTAAACTGTAATGAAAGGACAAGTTTTTGTGTTTTTCTATTGTAAATGCATACATCCTGTACCTGAGCATGTAGTTATTCACACACAGAGAATTAAAGCTCTTTGTTTGAGTAACATAGAGGCAAGAGTTAGTTTCTAAAGTCTGGAACATTGAAATTATTCTTTAATCAAAGGAGAGCTTTAAGATATCGTTGTTGAAAATGACTGGTATGTAATTAAAGTTCTGTTTTGGAATGAGCAGTTGATTTGATTCAGATGTGTTTACCTAGAGAAAAATCTAAAATAAGCAGAAAAAGCTGCAAGCATGCAGACTTTGAGGTTTTCTTCCAGTTATATCATACTTTTTTTTCAATTTAAATTGATTCACTGGAATTACCAAAGGTTTCTAAGCAGCTTTGCTGCCATTTGTTGGTTAGACCTGAGTGATTTCTGAGCATCTTTACCAAGTGAAGCCTTTTCCAGGAAGTTTAGCTCTGTGTAGAAGTTTTGCAGCTCTGGGTATTTTTCATGGATGATGCCGACCATAAAGTGCAACAGCGTCTGTCTGCGGTCCGTTGATTTGGTGTCAGTTAGCTTAAAGGAGTAAAAAACATAAAATTTTAAAAATGACTGAATGATGTATAAAAAAAAAATATAGCTCCAGACTTAAACTTGAATCCAGTTTCAGGTTTCTCACCAGGTCTAAACTCTGTAGGTGGAAACCATACGCTGGCCCTCGCTTGCTGCTGTTCATGTAATTTCCAAATGCCAAAACAATCTTTAAACCAGAAAAAAACAAGCATGTTGTCTTACAAATATCACATAGTGGAGAATATATTTTATTATTGCATTGCCTTCTCACTCCTTTAAACATGTTTGTATAAAATTCTTTCAATATATTCACCTCCAAGATTTTTTTTAGTTTTACAGATGATCTGACCGACATCGAAGCGTCAATGATGGCTTTCAGTTGCTGCAAGAAGAGAGAGAAAAAAAAAAAAACGGTTATGGTGTCAGACAAACAAGGAGTTTGGTAGGAGCTAAAACCAAATAGTGAATAAAACACACAGATGCAATGTTTTAAAACTTAAAAGGAGATTTAAAAAAAAAAAACTTTCTATGGTGGTTTAATGTTCTAATGTGTAGAGGTGTTGAAATATTTTTCTGCATGACATATTCTCTCTGTTTTAGAGCATCGCCTTCTGGAATAAAATTGTGAAATGATGGACACAGCTTCTCATTTTCGATTGCTGAGAGAAAAAATTAAGCTTTCATTAATTCTGTTTATTACAATTGAATCATAAAGATGCTGTTAATTTTTTGTTTTTCTGTTTTGGAACCCCTGTTGTGTTATAGGAATTTTAGTAGAGTGACCACTGTAGGGAAGATGCTCTACAGATTTAGGTAAAGTGGCTCTAATTGTTATCCACTGTCTTACCAAGACCTTAAACAGCTTTCTAACCCTTTCTATAATGATATTGACTTCTTTATTTCCCCTAGGAGCTCCATGAAGTTTGAAAGGGTTTCTTATAGCTGTTTGGGAGATTGTTGAGTCTAGAGGTCGGGTTAAGGATAATGAATTAGAAATTATTTACTAAGGAGGGATATCTAGTTTCTCAAAGGGTCAACATGGATTCAATAGCAGTAAAAATAGCAAAACAAAAACTTCTCTTTGCATTTAATCTGGTCATTTTAATTGGATACTAAAATTAAAGAAGGTATACCTATAAATACATTTTAAGTGGACTATTTAAAATGGTGATAACTGCAGGCATACACACACATTCTGGTCTTGGTATTTGTAATGAGGACCAAATATTGACTCAGTTTGCCTTCTATTGTTTTTTTAGTCCCTTTCAACCCTTTTCTATGCCCTACCTGACAGTTACCTAACCACTACCAGTGCAAACCTAACCCTACTATTAGGAATGCACGCCTTAGTCCTAAGCTTAATCTTTAGCATATAGGGAAGTTAAAATGTCCTCACTTTGGTCCTCAATTTATCAGTGGAATTGGAAAAATTGTCCTCACTCTGATCCCAAAACAAGAGCACACACCTTGGTGCTGTCCAAACCTGCTTGCAAACATGTTGCCCTAATTTGAAAGTTTCAAATGATGTGCAGTAGACCTTTAGTGGTCTATCTAGTCTGGATGAAAGCCTGGTCATGGAGCCATGTATGAGTCTTAAAGGATCTGTAAAACCATGCTTTGGAGCAAAGCTCTTCCAACAAGGAGTGTGTTACACTGTAATATATCTTCTTTTTGGAACAGTTGTTGATATAAAATAACATTGAGCTGGTGTTGGGTCACATAACCAAGTGAACATCACATTACCTCCTGAAACATAAACAGGAACTAGCTGGAAATAAATATCGGCTGTTAATATCAGCCCATTTAGTTATCAGACCAACTGTGGTATAGAATGACCAAAATACCAATGATACCAATGTTAATCCCGATATATGTTTATTGTGAGTCTGTACAATCTGAAGCAGGTCTATATCATATATACTCACAGGCTGGATGTTTTGGACGCTCTCTGGGAAGTTTCCCATGAAGGTGAGTGTGCTGATCCTCTGGGAGAGCCTCGGGATCTTGCCAAAGCGCACCAAGAAGCGATCCTCTTCGCTGAGCTCATCTATTGACCTGCCTTCGCTCTCATAAGTTTCAATGAGCTTCATCTCGTACTGAGTGGGAATAAAACGTTCAAGCAGCTCCAGGAAGTCTAGACTCAGAGCTTGCTGGTTGTACCTGTAAAGGCAACACTTCTTTGAAATTACATGTTGCAGCTTTCAGCTAAGGGTTTCAAAGTTCACAACATACGTCTCTATGGCGTTACAGATGTCTGATGCAGCCACAGATTCTTTTCGCAGAGTGATGGCCAGGTTTTTGGCTCTGTTGGGCTCCATTACAGATACTCTACTGGGGGTCTTCTGGGTCATTTTCTTCTTCAGGGTGCATAGATCTACAGGAGGGGACTGAGCTTTGGTCTTAAACTGCTCCTCAAAAGCTTCCATGTCCAGCTCCTGAAACAGAAACAAAAGAGCTAAGAGCAGAATCACTGGAGTGTAAACAGATGCTAGAAACTGTTGCTTATTATTTGGCAGGTATTTAAAGCCTGCGCAAGAGCTTTAGTTCATAAATGGAAAAAATAGAGGTATAAAATTATCTGGTTGCTTTTACATTTTACATTGTTACTTGTATCGATGATAACTTTGCAGTATATCAGTTAAATCCATTTACATAATTCAGTGAAAGTGTAAAATAAATATAATGATTTAACTAGGTGAGGTACTTGATCCAACTAAGCATTTGCACAATTTTTTGAACAAAATTAAGAAGGTAAAATAATGTAGATTTGTGTTTGAAAACAGAGTTTACAGTTTGATTAAATGTTATTTTCTACATCCTGTAAGTTGAGAGAAAAGCTGGATAATACACCTTGGAATAAATAAACAAGGAACAGAACCCAACCACTACCTTCTTGTGCCACTGCTTCAACAGATGATATCAGAGACTATGTTTTGGGGGGGCTTAAATGCACCTGTAGGGCCTCTCAGGGTAAAAAGTCTCTGCATGTATGTTTCCAAAAGCTCTTATGATGGCGATAAAATTGAGGCATAAGACGTCAGCTGGAACTTCACCCTGGAGACAAGCCTGGGGTTTATCAGTGAGGATCTGGTGGTTGGGTGCCTCCTCATGGGATCAACCCAGGCCAAGCCCAAAAGAGTCACCCTAGACAGTGGGCCCACCTCCTGCGGGGTGAGCTTCTACAGTATCTGATTCCAAGGGAGGCTGGGTATATTTAGTATGGGTGGAAAATGTTTTATGTGACCACCCACAGCTGTGGCCTTAAGATCTGCAGGGCCTCTTGTGGCGAAAACCACACTGGCAGCGAAGCATGGTTAGATTGCTTTTAGAAGACACCATGGAGAAAGACTGTTGGTCAGCCTCAAAGCAGTTCTGATACAGTCTGCCACCTCTGAAAGTGGAAGCAGTGCTTTTATTACGCAGTTTTTGGTTAGAGAAATCTCTATCATGACCAAAAGAATGAAATCCTGATACAAGTGGCTAAAAAGAGCTTTCTCTGCAGGGTAACCAGGCACTCTCTAAGAGATAAGATGAGATGCTCAGCCGTCTGTGAGAGGCTGAGAGGAGAGCCTCCTCATTGAAAGGAAATCTTTTTGCCACTTGGACATATCCCTCTGAAGGTGTTCCAGGCACGTCCGACCCGGAAGAGGCCCAGGGCATGACCCAGGATACTCTGAAGGGACTATATTTATTGGCTTGCCCAGAAAGACCTCAGGCTTCCCCTAGTGGAACTAGAGGAGGTATGTGCGGACAGGGAAGACTAGGAAAAACCACCGAGACTGCTGACTCAGCAACCCAATCCCTGACAAGCAAAGGATGAAGAGTACAAAGAACAAATCAAACCTGTAAGACATGTTGGTCATCCAACTCGCTGAAAATGGTTCCCTCCACCTCGTCTGATTTCAGAGCATCCCAGTTAAACAGCGGCATGCGGTATTTGGTCTGAATAGGCTTCTTCTCTTTAATGCCTGAAGGGGAATTAAAGAAAGTGTTAAGATTTTCAGATGGTCTTATTGCATACTATGTCACTGAGGGTTTCATAATGGGAAGAAAACCTTAACAAACTTATCAACTAGAGGTGGATGGTTGCTTCTTTTGGCTTCAGACTTTTAAGGCTTTCTGCCGCTCAGTTTCAACTTTCCCATAATGCTTTAAAGCAGACATCCCCAAAGTTGGTCCTTGATGACCCCTGTCCTGCAGGTTTTAGAGGTTTCCTTGCTCCAGCAGAGCTGATTTTAATCTAAAGCTGATTAACAGGCTTTTGCTCAACTGCAATCATCATAATCAGCTGAGCTAAAGCAGGGAAACCTCTAAAACCCACAGGACAGCGGCCCTCGAGGACTGACTTCGGGGATGCCTGCTTTAAAGCATGCAAATTACTGAACTTAAACAGCTTGTTAGTTTAACCATTCCCCTAATGTGATATTTGTCAGTAGCTTGTTTCCAAATCCAATTATTCTTCAGAAAACAGCCTGCAGATTTAAACAGCAAACTGGATAGGATCTTGGATTTTGCTTCTTTTGAAGGATGATGCACTCCCTAATGAGTGAGATGTCTAGAAAAGTTAGACAGGGCAAATTCATCTTCCAACTCTCTGGTCCCCTTAGAGAGCAATAATCCTTGAAAAGCTAGACAGAGCATGAAGGAATTCCCACAAAATTTTTATGTTAAAATTAATTAAGATTAATTTTTTTCTGGGTTCTTACTTCCAGAATTCAATTACCTTTTTTTTAATTAAACCAATAATCTTTATTCTGAATTTGATTATAGCTTTTTTTCTGTTCTGGTGAAATCACCTGAGCCTCCCTCCATATCTCCGGGAGGTTGTGGGGGAGCTCCTGGTGGTGGGGGAGGAGGTGGAGGTGGAGGAGGTATCAACTTCATTGAAGCTTGGTTTGGAGCTTGTGAGGAGATAAGCGCAGCATCTACTTCATCCATCACAGTGTCTGCAAAGATCAATCAGATGACGAATGGAACTCACATTGTGCATTTTCATTTGCCTTAGAATAAAATCCTGACATGCTGTTTAAATGGTTTTAGCTCTGAAGAGAGAGACATATTCTGATTGGAACTCTCCATTAGACCCTAATCAGAATATTAAATAAGACAGGCAATTATTTAGACCAATATTTGTGTGCTGACCTCCTTGTCCCCCCTGCTGGACCACCTGTAGAACTAGACATCCAGATGTGGAGCGTTCCACCCGGAGGATCCCCTGCTCCACCAGAGCCTGAACTCTGAGCTCCAGCTCCTTTAGCTCTTCAGAGGATCCGTTTCCTTCATGTTCATTATCCAGCTGCTAATGCAAAATAAATAGGATTGAATCAACTGGAGAGTGAACCACTCAGAGCTTGGAGACATAAAGAGATACTCAATAAATATGCTGATCCCTCAAGTACCCATTTGGTAGAGCCAACATGTCAGCTGCTAACTGGCTACCCTGCAACTTTTTACTGTTTATAAACTGTCATGATCTTGGCACTGATGACTGCCTGGATAATTAATTTCACTCACCTGCCTAACTCCGCCCAGTTTCTCATCATCGCTCATCTGTGTCACCTGCTCTAGTCTCTATTTAACCTGCCAGCTTCCAGTCATCAGAGCCAGATCCTACTCAAGCCAGTGGTGAGAGTGATTGAGCGTTACCTTAGTGTTTCTGATTCCTGACCTGTTCTGCATCTCAACCACTGAGCCTGCCTGTTTCAGTCTGATCTGTTTGCCTGACCTGTCTTTCGACTTCTGCTGGATTCTGCCTGTTTGCTGAACTTGGACTGCTTCCTAACACCATTCTGAATTTCCCTCCGGGACCTCTTGGATTTCTGTTCTCCTGGTTCTGAATCCTCTGAAAACTGGTGCAGTGTACCTTAAAGGGTTCCACCTCTTTGCCAGAGTGAATGAGCTTTTTCTCCAGCTCCGAGATCTTCTCCATTTCAGTCTCCTGAAGCTTGGAGTTTAGCTGATACACAGAGGGTAAAGCTTTAATTGATGAGGGAAAGGTTTCATATTTCTGCTTCTTGACAAGAAGCAACTGAGATGAAACCAGACTCAAATTAATCTGGCAGAAATATAGCCCGATGACACACTGATGAGTTTATCTACCTGTGAACTTTTCCTTATTTTCATTTTATTCTTATACCCCTATGCAGATGTTTAGGTAAGTTCTGTTATCAAGACATAAAAGACAAAAGTCTTTCTCTGAACTGACAGAAAGTGAGAACAATTAGAAACTAGAACAGTTTTTTAATACAAAACCTCCAGCTTCACCAGTCATACGCATTCACAGGATGTGCATACACTATAGTACCAAAGGTATTTGCTCACTGATCCAAATTATTTGAATCCTGTGTTTCAATCACTTCCATGGCCACAGATTTATAAAGTTAAGCACCTAGGCATGCAGACTGTTTTTACAAACATTTGTGAAAGAATGAGTCATTCTCAGGAGCTTAGTGAATTCCAACTTTGATACATTGCCACCTGTGCAACAAATCCAGTCGGGAAATTTCCTTACTCCTAAATATTTCACAGTATATTGTCAGCTGCAACATTAGACAATTAAAGTGTTTGGCAACAACATCAACTCAGCCCAAAAGGGGTTGGCCATGTAAGCTGAAGGAGCAGGGTCAGCGGATGCTGAAGCACAAACTGTATCACTACACCCCTTCAAAGTTCATGCCGCCTTCAGATTAGCTTCAGAACAGTTTGCAGAGAGCTTCATGGAACATGTAGCTGCATCCAAGGAATGCATCACCAAGAGCAATGCAAAGCGTTGGACGCAATGGTGTAAAGCACACTGCCACTGGACTTCAGAGCACTGGAGACGTGCTGTCTGGAGTGATGAATCAAGCTTCTCCATCCGGAAATCTGATGGACGAGAGAGGGTTTGGTGGTTGCCATGAAAATGGTACTTGTGTGTGACTGAATTTAGCCAAGTCTAAAGTTTGGAGGTGGGATTATGGCATGGGTTTGTTTTGGGTTTGTTTTACAGGAACCTGACTTGGCCCCTTAGCTCCAGTTAAAAGAAAACTATGAATTCTTTAGCATACAAAGACATGTTGGACAATTCCAAATTTGGAGATGCCCTATTCCTCTTCCAATATGTCCGTGCACCAGAGCACAAAGCAAGGTCCATAAAGACATGGGCAGTAGAGTGTGGTGTGCATGAACTTGACTAGCCTGCACAGAGTTATAACCTCAACCTGTCAGAACACCTTTGGGATCTGTCCCAATCAGTGTGTAACCTTACAAATGCACGTCTGTAATTATGCAAAGGCCGGGCTGATATAATATTGAACCCCTATGGACTATCATAGCATATATGACTAGAAAATAATAGATTGTCATACAGCGATCAGCTCTGCGCTATAGAATAAAAAAACATCCTTAAACTGAGAGTGTATCACTGTCCTTTAAAGAGAAGTTGCTGTTCAGTCACCTGTGTGTTGAGCCCCTGCAGCTGATCTATGTGCTCCAGCAGGCTGTTCTTGGCCTGTGCATCCTCCAGCAGAGACGCTATATCAAAAATGTTATCAAGATAGGCTTGGATCTGGAACAGCAGCCTGTCGCTCTCTGTAAACTTCAGTTGCTGCAACAGAAAGTTTTCTCCAGGTTTAATTGGAATATTTTCACTGGGGAACATTGATGTAGGCTGCTGAGAATGAAAATTCAACTTTAGAAGTAAGAATTAGATTAGGAATTGGAAGATTAAACTTGCCTCTAGGTAGTCATCCAGGCCATGCTGAGTAAATTCATACTGAAGGTAGACCCTGAAGTTCATGTTTTCCACAGAATGGACCACAATGTTGATGAACTGCATACATGCCACCTGGTAGATAGACAGTATACAGGGTTCTGATACATAAAAAAAAAAATATCTTCCATAAATGGAAGATTTTTCAAGCATTTTTTAAGGTCTATATTGATAATGAACTGTCAGTAATGTAGTCAGTGAGAATGTAAATGACAACGTTAACCCTATGGAGAACTTTAAACTTAAAGTTGCTATTTGCACACATTTTGTCCAGTAATAAGATACTAATTTCATGTTAAATTCATTAAGGTGTTATTTAATTTCCTTATATAGAAAATTCTTTGAATATTTTCCCCTAACTAACAGACTGGTGCTTTGTAAAGGGCCGGTTATACACCTGCAGTAGTGTGTCGCAGTGAGCTTCTCACAGGTATTTTTGGTTTATGTCCAATATATGCGCTATGTTATACCATGCCACTACGCAAGGGGGACAATCATGAACTAGCTATGGGTCGGGATACGGCCGAGGCGTTGAGGAAGTGGGGTTACGTTTTTGCGAAACAGAGGGACAATGAGGGTGAAAATAGTGGGGATCCTGGTGGAAAAGGGTACCAGAGTTCTCGTGCACCTTGCTCTTCTAGCTGGTCCATTTTCACAAGTTGTTTTCCACAATGGCGGTCATACAAACAAAACAAGTCGGTAAGGTACCAAACAGAAAACAAACATAGTGTAGAGTGGATGTAGATTTGACCAATCAGAGGCCTCCTGTCTGCAGCACTGTCTGCGGTCACTTAGGATTTTGGAGAGGTGCACCAGAGTGTTTGCGGAAGGGGTGGGGGCACATTTGCTTTCACAGCGACACACACACAGACGACCTGGTTTCTGAGTATAAATCAACCTTAAGTCTACATATAGGTGCACACAACAACCTTGTGAGAAAATGGTGCTGGCAGCGGTTGACGCGCTTGCAAAGGCTGTGAACCAGCAGGACCGTTAGCTGCCATATGCTGGGTATGATTGAAAGCAGTCTGGCTTCGGTGGTTGAACTCAAAGGTGAAATGGGATAATATCTTGGATTTCCATGCTCACTTCAAGGCGGAAAAGCCCATCAAATACGGAATATTGGATTCACCATGTGGAGCCAGCAAGAAAAGACTTGAAGGCTGACGGAAAATTCCTTCTCAGCCTGCTCTCAAAACAATGCGCTATTTTAGATTCGGACTCCCACTTATCAAACCTCCCCTGGATGTTATGGCAGAAGGGCCCAGAGCTGTAAATCGCTTCCCCTGCCGGAAATGGCTTTCAGGTCATGCCGATGAACATCTGTTCAGTTAATTTATTACAATCTTATTTTTTACTTAATTTATTAGATTGTATGCTAGTTTGGCCATGGGGACCTAAATATGCAAATAAGAGCAGATGATTGAGAATAGCTGCAATACACTATAGTTCATGTGAGCAAAGACGGCAAAGTTAAGCTAATTTAATTAAAATTGTGAGGTTGCAAATTTAAGTAATTAGCCTTCAAACTGACACATGGCAGTGTAAAATTGATATATTTAATTTCGTGAAAACTTGTTAAGCTTTAAAATTTTGGTAAATTGGTTTGGTTTTAAAGGTAAGATATATATATATATATATATATATATATATATATATATATATATATATATATATATATATATATATATATATATATATATATATATATATATATATATATATATATATATATATATATATATATATATATATATATATATATATTTTTTTTTTTTTTTTTTTTTTTTTTTTTTTTTTTTTTTACCTACTAGGTATGTTTTAATTGTGATCAAACAGAGATAATAATCTATTATGTGGGGCTTGCCTAAAGGTGGTTTCTAAATAAATAGTGAAAACATCATAAAAATTGTTTTGAATTATCTGAAGCTTATTTGTTCCATAAAGGTTTTAGTGGGAAGTGTGCTAAGCAGGGATGTCATTTGGGCACAAAAAGTGATGTGTTTGACCTACTTTTATAATCCAATGGTGGCATACATCTCTATCCATTTTAGCTTTGAAACTGACAACACTTTATAGTAAATGTGGAGCATTTTTAAATTAGGTGTGGCAAAACTTAAATGCTGGTTGTTTAAATTGGATAACAAAAAAATTTGTGTTTAGCCTAACAATCAAAGCTGGAGTTCAAAAAGTTTAACCTAATGTCATTGAACTCAGTTTGGCTTTGGATAATGATGACCTGATGTCTCTCAGTTTGCAATATATCAATTACAAATTTATACTGTAAAATTTTCTTTTTTTTTACCAGAAAGTGCTTAGTTGAAAATATCTGCAAAATTGCATATTTTACCTTTACAATTATTGACATATCATAGTTTCAACTAAAACTATTCCTACACAATCCTTCCATGGAGATGCTTAAATGACCAGTTATAAGACAAAATTTAAGAATTTCCGAAAGGGTAGTTGTTAATTTGATTTTTTTTTTTCATTTAAAAAAATTCATTAATCGGATTAGTTTTATGCCTCACATTTGGAGGCATAAAACACATAATCCCCCTTAAAAAAACAACTTTATTTTAGTCCAGCATGTAATCTTTGGTAGGCTGGTCATATTATGGAGAGGTTTTCTATAAATGTTCTCAGTTTTACCATGAAGTCGATATTGCTTTCCTCTTTGCGAAAATACTCCATGAGCTTCTCGAAGCGCCTTTTCTCCCAACACACCTGAAAAAACAAGAAATCTTAACCAACATAGTCTTTGTTTATTAAGGGCTTGCTGCCCATGAAGTTTTTGGTATCAGTGAACACATGGGGGCAGTGTGCTCCAAGTTCTCTGGTTTCTGTAGAGCTGCGGTTCTCAAAGTGTGTGGCGCGACCCACTGGTGGGGAATTGAGACGTGACAGGTGGGGCGCGCCAAGTTCCGGTGTGTGTGTGTGTGTGTTGTGTGAAATGTAGAACGTGTGAGAGCAAACTGTCCTTATAGCTGTATGTTGCCGCTTTTTAGACCAATCAAACCCACAAAGTAATCATTACTAGCCTACATGCAGTCTAATTAAAAGAACATTAGATATGAGAAACATTTCACCTGGAACTGAAGTGCCAAAATAATGATTGACGTGACGTCGGCATATTATTTGTAATAATGTTGTGTGTTGCCAACTCAGTGACTTTGTCGCTATATTTCAGACCCCTCCAGCGACTCTTTTTCAAAAAAGCGACTAGCGACAAATCTAGCGACTTTTGGAGACTCTTACGTGAAAGCACGTATCATTCCTTTTCTTGTCCTCCAGCGGCAGGTGCTGCCGTGGGGCGCCTCCCCCATCCCCACCCCGTTCTCCCCCGCTATCGCAGGAGTCCCTCTCAGCGCTGCAGTCAGAGACACAGCATGTTTACCCTCAGCGTTCAGACTGCAAATAAAGCGCACATGCGCCGGGATTGACGGCGCAGGTTGATCATAAATAACTGAATTTGAAATATTTTATCTTAAATAAATAACGGCGTTTGATTCACACAGCAGCATGTTAATGTTGTACCGTGATTTGTAGGCTCCTTGGTGGACCACAAGGGAAAAAAAGAAAACGTTTAAAAAAGTTTAAAAAAAGTTGTAACTCCTCCATAGTGTCTCTTTATGGTTCATTTTGCCGGTCACAAACCGGGTAAAGGAGGAGGGTTAGTATTGTAATAAATTAAAACTTAATAAAACAATAATAATAATAATAATAATAATAAACATTAATGGACAGAAAAAAGTAGCTCTATATTATTTGGGTGTTTTTACTCACTTTTTGTCTCTCTCTAACAACGTTATTTCTCCCACTCCCATCTCAGCTGAACATTGAGCATGACTTGAGAGTGGCAGTATCAAGCCTGCAACCCGGTTTTGAGAAACTGTGCAATGCAAAACAGGCTCATTGCAGCCACTAATGCAGGGATAAATAGACCTGTCTTGCCAGATGGATTTCATTTCTTTTCTTTTATTAACAGATTGCAGAGTGGCACTGAAATTTTTTCTATCTTTGAGCTTGATACAAATTTTGACACAGCTGCATTTTTATTTTCTTTATTTTTGAGCTTGCTGTTATTTGATGTAGATAGTTTGTATTTAGATACTACTTGTTACTTCAATAAAATTGGAACATTTTAAGATTGTTGCATATTTCATTAGTATTGTGTTGGGGCGATGGGGACAGGCGGGGCTTGAAAATTCCCCCTTGTCCAAAGTGGGGAATGACAGAAAAAGTTTGAGAACCACTGCTGTAGAGCCACATTGCTTGACACTTTAAAAAAGAAACCACTGTAAAGAGAGGAAGGTTGCTGTTTTACAGCTTGTAAAAACATTCCGTTACAGAAGCAGCTTAGAGTGAAAACACTTCTCAGTTGTTGGGCACATCAAAATGTTTTCTCTATGTAAACATCTCATCAGCCCCTTTTCTGCTCTACTTCTGACTAAACCTCCACAGGCTCAAACTCATGTTCAGTAAATAATGCAGCAGCCCAAACAAAGCTGCTGCTCTGCTGCCGAGCGACATACAAACCGACTCTTGGCCTGCTGCCCATCTGCCTCTACGGTAGAAGATCGGATCCCTCATCATTTCCCTATGACTCACACCCATCTTTCAGCTTCTGTGTCACTGAAACTGAGCAAAACTCTCAGCACCTGTGTGTCATGCTGTCCTCCGCCTTTCTCCATACAAAAACAACACTGTAGATCGAATCTAACTAACATGATTTGCAGAAAAGTAAACAGCATCAGCAGATTTAGCCAGATTTGCTTCCCTGTTTTGCTTGTCCGGGGTTACCCCAGTTTGTTTCACTAGTGGAGATCTCAACCTGAAAGAAGTGAAATGCATTCCTGTGTCACGGTTCACAGGATTAAACATGCAGAGCAGGTTTGTGACAACCAGGAGTAAAAATAAATGCTGCTAGTTCAGGTTTACACTCTTGTCTGTCTGGATTGTTCAGGGTGCTATTAACGACTGCTGCTGCCGAGATAAGGGCAAAGTTTAGAGGCTCTGCAAGTGTTATATGCTCCTTTAGCGAGTTTCACTAGTGGGGATGAGCTGCTGCTATAGATCGGCTCAGATCAGTGTGAGTGGGAATTGTGGAGCAGATAACTGAAAATTAATATGGCAGATTAACAGACTGAAAATAGATAAGGCAAGAATTTCTTTTCAAGCTGCAAATCAAAGAGAAAACATTTGCCTTTTTGATTTCTTAAACCATCTCATTTTAAAAATAAGTTTTAGTAAGTGTCTCATACGAAAACTTTTGGTCAAGTTTTCTCTTCACCATTTAATGGATTTGCTACTTTAACTGTCATATTATGGCCTACAAAATCACAAAGAATATTACTGTTTTTATAGATGTTCAGCAGACAGTCAGAGACATCCAATCATTGCAACCATCAATGTTGGAGAGGCTGGGTTTAAATCAGGAATTGGATAGAAGAAAAAAAAGCTTGATAGAAAAATTGCACAAGCAGCAGGAATAACTGCAGCTTTGATTAGATTGTTAAGGATGGCTCGTTCAAGCATTGGGATGAGATTCATGACTTGGGAAAGGCAGTTGAAACAGCTTTAAGAGAAACAACTCTCACATATGTAGAACAAGGGTGACAAATGTCACAATTTTGTAATAATCCACCTTTTATTCAGACACTGGAACTGCCTTCACCTGGGATACAAAAAGGAAGAATATTTTTCTCGTGATACAAGGTCCTTATTTAAGTAAAGAGTAAAATTTGCATTTCATTAAAGGAACAAGGAAGCAGAGGCTTGAGGAAGAATGACTCAAGCTCAGGTCCATATATATATATACATATATATATATATATATATATACATATATATATATATATATATATATATATATATATATATATATATATATATATATATATATATATATATATATATATATATATATATATATATATATATATATATATATATATCTTTTGCTAAAGGAGAAAAGGAAAAATGAGAAACTGTACTCTTGTCATCCTGAAGTTCTTCTGTCTTCCTTAGGAGTTCTACCTAAAATTTTACTCTTCCACATGGAAGGAATCTCTTCTCTACTGACTGACTGTTGAATGCCTGACTGCCTGTTTTCTGACCTCTTTGAAGTTGTCAAAGGCAGACAGGATGATATCATGGCCTCCTCTCACCAAACACACGGCTGCCAACAGCTCCAGCACCAGAACTTTGGTCCTGAGAAGAGAAAAGATTTATTTACAAAAAAAGGAAGTAATAGATTCATGCAAATACAGATTCTGATGTGGAGTGAGGTGTCATAGGGGACAGATGGACCCAGTATTCAAGGAAAGACAGAGAGTGGGAAAGTTCAAAAAGTTTACTAAATGAAAACAACAGAAAACGCAGAACTGTGGATCTGAGGACTGCAGCGGCTAGAGGGGAGGAGATGGGGCACCACCCAATCACTGACGTTCCGTTTTAAAAGTTCAGTCTACCCTCTTTGAGGAAGGCAGGATCCAGCCGATGGACTGCCAAATGAGCTGCAGAGAGCTGCCCAGAGTGTCCCCGATGTAGCAACCACAGTGAGCAGGCAAGAATTTGATCCAGGTCAGGGAAAACAGATCAGGACAGTTCTGAGATCCAGGAGTCTTTAGTACGACCAGGGGTTCCGACCTGAACAGGAACATACAGATTCAGGGTTCAAGGAACCACAGAGTGTGAAGGGAGGTTTGGAGTTCCATGACTTCTGCAGCAAGATCAGACAGACACCCTCAGATGCCAACAGGCAGGCTCAGCAGTTGAGGGACAGAGACAAGTAATGATACCAGGATAACTGCAAAACTTTAAACTGTACTCCACATAGGAACCAGGATTACGGGACTTTAAACTAGCGTCCCCCTGTCGAGCCAAAACAGGAACAGAGAGCACTAAGTGGGAAAGAGCAAGGATCAGGAGACGACAAGACAAACACTAAAACCCTCTCAACCCTCTGGCCTTCAGAAACGGGGACACAAACCTTGGTATAACAAAAATTACCGAAAAAAAACATAAATTATACAATGATCTGGCCCCAATAGCTTGGCTGAGCTAAATATAAAGCAAAGTTAGGCAGGTGAATGATGAGAACAATTAAGGTCAGCTACAGTATCAGGACAAACCATGGTAGTAGGGCTGTTCAACCAAAACTTCCTTATTCAAAAACTTTAACTTTTAAATCTCTAATTTTAGGTTCAGAGCGGATTATTCTTGTTAATAAGATTTTTTCTAAACTCTTAAAATTATATAACATATAACATCCATCCAGCTGTCTGGATGTTAAACACCAAAACACTGAAGCAGATTAAACCATTCCACAGAGAATATTCCAACTGTGGTCAATTTCAGGAATGAATGACATTTCTTCACCCACTTAGAAGCAGAAGCTTAAAATGTGTTGTTGCTTTGGGTAGTAGGGTAGCCATATTTACAGAAAATTTTGTAACAAAGTTATTTCTTGTAAATTTTTTTGTTAGGGTATTGAAATAAAGAGAGCAACTTTTCAATTTTGGGAAAAATGGTTTGGTTTTCAGGGTCTGTTGTGTAATAACAATAAATAAAAATGTAGGTGCTTCTTATCTTAAACTGAATCTAACAAAGGAAAATGTTGGCAAAAGTGCAGCCAATAAAAGAAATGATTCTTTATGGAGTGATTCATTCTGATGGACTATATTTATCTCTCATGTTTTTTTTTCTTTTGCTATATATATACTGTATATATATATATATATAAATTTTTTTTTTTTTATCGATAATGAAGAATCTTGAGAGTTTTGGTTTAACCTGGGGTTTTTGTCGTTGAGGCTGAGGGTTATCTCGTTGACACAGCTCGGGTGCTTCATCACCTGGTTAAACCCGGACTGTAAGAACAAAGAAATAATTGATTTATTACAAACGTCAACAACCAAACGGCTCAATGATTTACTCAGAAACAAACATTGCTCAGAAAATTAAACTCTTACAAAAAAATGCATTACCAGCTTTTTAGTCAACATGACAAAAAATTTACTTTGGTATATTAAACACTTTTGATTTATGTTACTTCTGCTTCTGTTTTAAGCATTTTGATGTTATCAGTTATATTTGTTCTCTCCAGTAGGTTTTTAAGAACAAGTAAAGCACCTTATAACACAAGATTCAGATAATTTTTGCACAGTTATATTGTTCACTTTAACAAAATTGAAAAAGGACTTAAATGAGGCCAAAGTCTTTCATAACACAAAACAAAAAAATAAGAGGCATGCATGCAACCATAGAGTGATGAGAATTACTGCAGTTTTCTCTAAACCATTTATAGTTTTCTGCGTTCCCTGCATTCATGAACCTTTTTACCGTCACCTTCTCTGCAGTGGGTTGTAAACTGAAAACAAAACAAAAAAACTGCAGAAAATGTCTGAAAGCATCTAAATACCTCATAGTTCATGATGGCACGGAGACACATTATGCACAGATGAATATCATCCTTCTGACCAATGACACGTGATCCCCTCTGACCTCTTCTGTTGAAAAATAATGAATCCATCAAAAGGAGCAGTGTATGCCGTAACAATCAATATACTGTTGTTAAAAAAATTATTTCACAGCTACAAATAAACATTTTCTCTCCCAATGTAATAATTGTATAGTTAAATCTATTGCATCAAACTATGGAAAAATTCATATTATTGGTCACTCCTACAAACGCCTTCAAACTTAATATTTCAAACCTGCATAGTTAGGCTTATTATCCTTTTAAGAAGTGTAAAAAAATCAATACACAATTTTCTATAAATGAGGAATATGTTCCTGAATTATCTGGAATATACATAGAGACACATAAATACTTTGCATATCAGATAATGTCAGCCTACACTTTCTGAACATCCGGTTCAGACATTTTTAAGATTTTAACATACATTCTGTTCAACAGAAAGAAAAACAACACCTTGATTTTCAATATGAAAAGAATGCAGTGAGCTATTTACAGAGTGTTCTATGATTAGTAGAAGATAGGGCGGCTTTAGAAATGCACCTCTCTGCTGTTACTGACTCATGTGGGGAGTTATGGGAACATAAAGCCTACATTCCATATTCAATCTAGATGCCCAAGGTCTTGTCAGCTTGGAAACAGAAACAATTTGCCTTAACAGTGACAGGATTAGAATTCTATGTCAAATCTCAGTAAAAACCAGGAGAAGATATAAAAGTGATCCACAGAAATCTAAACCAAGGCTTTTAAGTATTAGTCTACACCCAACTCAGTTCCTGAACGTCAAAAAGTAACTTAAATAATTCCCAGCATTTCAGAGATACCCCAGAGATCCTAATCGGCCAATTTCCTGTGTATTTACTATAGATTCATACTCAGTACAGCATTTACTAACTAAATCTGTTTTTTATATCTCTAATAATCAGTAAAATTAATCAGCTTAATTTTTTTGTCTGTCTGTAAATAATCAATATTATGATGTTTTTGGATACATTTTTGCCTCAATCAATGAATTGGGGCAATTCTGCCATGCTGCCAAGTTTGTGCTGGTTTTTAAAACTGCAACCACAATTTTAACAAGAGGAACAATTATTTGTCAGAAAAAAAAGACCAGAATTATTAGAAACTAAAAAGATGTGTTCTCTGAGAAACGTTCAAGGGCTTTGATATCTATGGGACCTTTAAAATATTTATTCTAGACCCAATTATCCACACCTATTTTCTCATCTATGTCTTCAATAACTTTGCTTTGTGAACCACTGGTGTTGGAACAACAAGAATCAATCGTCACAGAAAAAGCTGAAAGCAAAAATGTGTCTTAAATATTGATGTCCTGATTCCAGCATAAATCCTGCAGGACATTAGACAATATTCATGACATAGTTTCTTTGACATCCCATCATCAACACTCGAGAATGTTCCATACTTGATTGTAATCCCCTTGGTAAGCTTTGCGCCCTGGTTGGCCTGAGGGTTGCTGGGATTCATGCACAGATCTTCCATCGACTTGTCTATAGGCTTGCTTTTATCTGAGGGCAGCATCCCGTTTTCAGAAGTCTCTGTGTCAGACCTGGGAGTCATCAAAGAGAGACATATTGGTGCCCATCTGAGCTAACATTTCCTTTGTTTAAACCATTCTAAATGAAGCAGGAATGTAAACAACATAAACAAGTTTCATATAAATTGTGATATCTGTATAGTACATAAAAAATAAATAAATCATATCTTAAGTTAATGCTTACGTTACAGCGCTTTGAGCAACAGACAGATAATTAACCAGAACATTCAACCCCTGATTCTCCTCATTCAGGAACTCCTGAGCCCAACTGTAAGAAAAAGCAGAACTCAGAAAAAAAGTTATGAAAGTTTTATCTGTAGCACCGCTTTAACAAAAAGGCTCTTTTTCTTTCTACGTGCAGCTCCAGAGCTCTAAATGCTTTCCTAGCTCTTTAAGATTTTTACCAATCTCGTTTAAAGAAAGCATACAAACATTTGCAGAACAAAGAAATTGTGTCTATTTTTCTCATTATTTCAAATCCATCAGTGTCTTCTTTTCTCTATCTACATTCTTTGATGTTGAACCCTGTTTAGTGCAGAAGACTCACCCAATGTGATTGGTCCTCAGGGAAATCTCCAGCTCTCTGAGGACCTGAGTCATTTCTTGAACATGTCTCTTAAACTGATGAAAAATATAAAAATTATTAAGAGGCCTTTCATTAAGTAATTATTCATCATATATTAAATCTGAGGAGGAAATAAAAGAACTGAGTAGGATATCCTTCAAAGAAAAGTAACTGTCTATATCACACAGATAGAAAAAAAATATTTGGAACTTAAATACAAGCATATTATTGCAGATTTTTAAGCTTCACTATGCCTGTTTTTATTAAAGCAACACGCTAAGCCACCAGGAAGCGTCTAACCTGTAACTTCCAGGTTTAGCACCCCAAAATGCAACAGTCTCCGTCTGTGTTTTGGAACTGATAGCTACAAAGGAAAATACTGAAGGCCATGCATGAAATACCTATTCATTCCCAAAATACTCATTTGTGCTTAAGAAATATTAATTTGTGGCCAAGAAATACTAATTTGTGCGCAAACTTGTTCTCCCAATCAACTTATTTTTTTCTCTAGAACATAAGGGTAAGCAAAAAATACTAAAACATAATCCTCCTACAGCGCACCTTCTGGAACAGAGGAAGAAACCAACATGATAGACAAGGAAAGTGTGATGGAGTTTTATTTCAGGCATAGGATAAACTATAAAAAGATTCTGATCTCTCATTAGTGCGACATTTAAATGAAATAATAACAGCCTGGTATGAATCGTGACCAGGTTTACCGATGTGTGCGGGACTGGGCTATAAGGTAACACCAGCTGCTGTCCAATTTATTTGTCCATTAGCTCAAGGACCAATTGAAAGAGGAAATGCTGCTAATTTGTTTATGTGATAAGTGTGGAGTGATCCAATTAAGCACCAAGTGCATTCATTACTTTTCTCTTTGTATTATGCACATCTTATAGGCAGCCGTAATTTGTAACGGTGTGGCAGTTATGATCTATATGTGGAGAAGATGCAGGCAGAGGAGAAAGAGCAGAAGAGGATCTTCTCTTTTATGAACAGCTTTAAAATGACTAAGAAAAAAAATCCTATGACCTATCACCTAAGATAACTTGGGGCCTCAAACACCACAGAGTGACTTTTAGATCATTTTCTGGAGCTGAGTTTCATCAAACCTTATGTGGTCAGACTCATTTTCATCTGCAGCAACGATTTACGTATTCAGGGCTAGTTATGCTGCATCATCATGTATGATCAAGCTATCTATCGGTTTGTTTCTGTTCTCCTTCTCCTTCTCTTCTTAATGTTACAGTTTAAAACCTTCATAATTCCCAGCAGTGGTGATTTCTGGTCTGACCTGACCGGAGATCATTTCTCTTCTGTAACTTGGTTGGCAGGGAGCCTCAAAACACATATATCTACACATGGTTAAGGCAGACTCATTCTGTGAGTGCAGATGCTTTGTTTGTGGTCTGGACGGACATATATAGACTGCATTCTGCTCTACCTTTAACCCACCAGCGGTAGGCTATAACTGTGAATCTATAGGCTCACCCCTTAAAGTTCTGGGCCTCACTGGTTTCTATAGCTGAAAAAAAGGTGATTTGGTTCTCCATAAACCAGTAGTCAGTAAAACAAGCAGCATATTAGCAGGTATTTGTGAAATAAAATTTACAACAATCAGTGCTGTGCTGCATTAAGGATGAGCATAGATGGTAACATGTACAGTATGACTTTAGACACTAAAAGATTGAGCTATAAAAAGGGAGGTAACGCTAAACCCCAACAATTTTTTTGACACTGCAAAAATGCTCTTATAATGGCCACATAAAGTACTAATTTAGTAACAGATCCAACCCTACTAAGTTAGATAGATAGGTGATTTTATGAGAAGAGCAGCCAGCATGGAGCATCAATGCATGCAAAGCACTATTGACTGACCTTAAAAACCATTAAACCATCTCAAATTATGCTAATTCTCAGCTTATAGTTGTAGTTCTCATGCACTTCCTTTCTGACAGTTTCAGTATTTCGAGTGAAAATGGAAAAAAAAGTAAGAAAGAAAACTTACTTTGAAGTCGACTGAATTGCAGTTGTTTTAATTGAATGCAATTAGAACAAAAAATAAACCGCATTGTCTAATTAGTCGGCTAATTAGCTGACTAATTAGCTGTTTTTTTATTAAAACTACTGCGGCACAGATAAACAAAGGTATTTATTTTTATCAGGCTTGACTGAAACCATATATTCAAGTTGAAATTGACCCAAAATACCCAAATACAGAGGTAAACAGGGGCAAAAATACAAAAATATAAAATACTGATAAAACCAAAAGGGAAAATACAAAAGGGAAGCAAGGAGACGATGGAGCAGCAAAACAACAACAAGAAACCAGCACAGAGTGACTGCAGAGGTGGTGTATATATGGAAAACAGAACAAAGGGTGGGCTTATGAGCAATGGGTAGAACTAACTAGAAGGGAGCTAAAGGGAAAGGAAACAAACGCAAAGGGGCAATAGAAAGTGACCCAAGAACTAAATACTGCTAGTGAGCAAATACAAATACAAAGAAGCTAAAAATAAACAGAGAGCAGAACCCTGACATTAAAGGCATAGTACACCCAAAACATGATTAGCCTTCATTTTCTACTCACCCCCATGCTGAACAACACCCTGGAGTACTTTTTTGATATCTCAAATGCATCTGGAGATCTGGGAGGCTTCTTGCTGTCTGCTGACATTCAAATAATGGAGGTCTATGGTGCCCGAGACAGAAAGGTCCATAAAAGTCCACAAAAAACGTGTCAATATTCCTCCATACTGGTCGTCCAATGTATTCCAAGTGTCCTGAGTGGGTAGCATCCAGAATTTACTCGAAACGAAGTCATTTAGAATGTTTTTAGAGCATAAACAGTAGTGTATAGGATTTCCTGAAAGCGCGCACATGCGCGATCACGATGCTACGGAAGCCGGCAGACCAAACCAGATGAAAGTGCGCATTCAGCGTCTGCTCTTCCAATAATGCAAGCGTAGAAGAAGAAATGTGCCGTTTACCTGTACAAAGAAAGAAACAACGAAAGAAAAATGTCTGAGGACTTCAGTGTTGAGGAAGAGCATGAGTTCTTTGCCGAGCTGAATGCGCTGGTTTGGTCTGCCGGCTTCCGTAGCGTCGTGATCGCGCATGTGCGCGCTTTCAGGAAATCCTATACACTACTGTTTATGCTCTAAAAACATTCTAAATGACTTCGTTTCGAGTAAATTCTGGATGCTACCCACTCAGGAAACTTGGAATACATTGGACGAGCAGTATGGTGGAATATTGAAACGTTTTTTGTGGACTTTTATGGACCTTTCTGCCTCGGGCGCTGGGCACCTCCATTATTTGAATGTTAGCAGACAGCAAGAAGCCTCCCAGATCTCCAGATGCATTTGAGATATCAAAAAAGTACTCCAGAGTGTTGTTCAGCATGGGGGTGAGTAGAAAATGAAGGCTAATCATGTTTTGGGTGTACTATTCCTTTAAAGGCTTTTAAAAATATATAAAAGGTATTTTAAAATATTTACTGCAAATTTTATTTAAAAAGAATCTGCGATTATGTTTGTGTTTAGGGGACTACCATGCATGCTACATGGCTACTCATTGCTAACTAGCTTTATCAGGGCTAATGGCTAGATTTTTACTTCCTTAGGCTGAACTTGACCTTTGTTGTTTAACTGCTAGTCAGCCTTGGCAGAAGGCTATTCAGGTTTATTCTGTATCGTTACAAGGGAGTTTTTCCTCTCCACTCTCACTGCATGCATCTTCAGCATGGGGGTTTTCTGTATAGATAACAATGCAATGCAAGCAAATGTCAATGGTTGCCACATGCTCATAATGAAGGAGTGAATCAAGGCAATCAGCTGGGTTTCCTTAGACAAAAAACTTTAAAATAATCTATGATTTGATTGAATCGTCTTTGATTGAATGAGATGATATGGTGGGAAGTGGTGCCATAAAAAAATTAAGTAAATAAATAGTGAACTACATCTAACTTATGAAACTATAATTACAATGTCTTGCAATAAAATTATGGTCATTTCACCAAAAAAATCCTGAAATGAGTTTGCTAATTCCCTTCAAAACATTATCAAATAGTAATTTCATTTATTTTTATTCATGAAACATTTAAGTCTTAAGATGTTTAATCTGACCAGTTTAACAACTTCAAATTAAAACATGGATCTGTAGATTCATGGTATTTAGATTCCCTCAAATCCCTAATACTTCAAACCAAGGATAAAGATTTAGACTTTTTAATTGAGATTTTAAAGTTCAAAACCAACCAATTGCTTCCTGAACTGCTTGATAAAAATCAGTGGTTTGACTCGTACCTTCCGACCTGCTCCTCCATGATCAAAACAGCTCCTCAGTTTATCCGAATAGGTAGAAGGAGGATTCTTGACTTGAAACCGCTCCTAAGAATCCAGGAGAAAAACAAAGAGGCCTGTAATAATTATGTCCACTATTGGGTTCCTCCTCAATATTTATTAGGTTGGAGAGATATGTCAATTTTACAAATGAGAAACTATTTTACCCTTTCAGCTTCTTTTCTTATAATATTTTCGCCTTGTTTATAGATAACAGAAAACATTTTTTTTTTTATTTTGACCAAGCAATCCAAAATTTTTATTTTTGTTTTACTAAGACAATATTTATTATGTCCTGTAGGATAACCTAAGTGTTACGTAGTCTTAAGGGGTTGATTCGAGGGTTGGTCACTTCTCAATAAAACTTTTCGGAAAAAATAATTAAATAAAAAAAAAAACAAAAAAAAAAACAATGATTCCATCATTTAAACTTAACACAGATATATACCACCAGTTTCCGGGCCTGGGAGGGAAACAGCCTTATTCTTTGCTCCTGTTCATGCATATCTATCAAATTTAAGTGCTGTGTTTCTTGCCGAGGTCTTAGCACCAAAGACAAAGTAATTGTATCAATAAATTTCTCCTAATTGTCTTTTCTCTTTGTGCGAGTTTTTCAGATTTAAATTAATCCTCTTTAATGTTAGGTTGAGTAAAGATTTTGATTTGTCACAAAGCCTTAATGCAAACAAACCTGGTCACAGATCAGGTCCCACTTCTTCTCATTGTCATACTGGGAGAGGATCTGCACTTTGTCCGGAGGAAGATTCATTGTGTTCTGGAAGCAGAAGCATAGAAGAAAAAGAAATCGATGATTGAAATATCAGATTTTTCGTTGGGTATACTGACATTTAAAGCTCTGTCATAGCTGGAAAAGTTAGTAACACTGAAAATTAACCTGTCAAGGTTAATATCTCATGCGCCTCGCTTTTTCCAGAAGGCTGCCTTGTTGGGTCATATATTTATTTATTTATTTACTTATGTTAGGAAAGAGATAAAATACTGAGAAATGAATAAATAATTATCATACAATTAGTGTGATTGTTTTGATTTAATGACAAAGTATGTATGTTTTTGTTTGTTTTCTTATATAAAATTGGTTAAAAGGTCTGCAAATCAGTGGCGGTACCTGATTAAGAAATCAGATTTGGGGTTTTTAGGTTCAACGTTTGGGAAATTTTAAAACTGAATTTCTACGTTTATCTTTAGAGGGAAAAAGGGTTTAAAATTGACCGGGTATAAATGCATTTACATAGAATATAAGTGTGATTTTCATATGAAATAATTTTTCTTTAGTGATGCAGGCATCAAATATTTCTAGGTCAAATTTGGATAAGATTCTTTTGGCTTATGAAAGCTCTCTGCTGTGGATAATTCTTTAATATTAAGCTTTTCTTTGCACACCTGTTTGTTTATCATCCCTACTAAAAGTAGCCAGGAATGATATGGGTGGAGCCTGTAGACTAAGATACAGCAATTTTACTGCAAAATATTTCTCCTTATCCATAGTAATTGGGGAAAAAATATAATTTCCACACTTTTTAATACCTCTCAAAAAATATCTGTTGTCTTGAAATAAGAAACCCACTGAATGGAGCTTTTTTTGGGCAACTGGTGTATTAAAGATAGTTTACTGTTCTTGAATCAAGGTTTAGATGAAAGGTTTTGGTTTAAAACTCAAAAGGATGTAAATCTTCATCAAGGTGAAAGAAAAAACATATATGCAAATTTTTTCTGTGTAAAGACAATATTATATTTACCGAAACAAGGAACAAATCTTAGCTATCAGTGAACAGGTTTAACTGTATCCTAGATGAAAACTCTGACGTTGGACTTCTTCAATAATTCAAAGCTCTATTTTTTTCTTTGTTGCTTCTGTGCGATGACCTTATTTGTTAACAATGGTGTCCTTCTCAACATTCTTACGCACCTAATCAGTCATCAGATTTCACACATTGTACCCAGAATTTAGAGAAACTGCTTCTCTGAAAAGACACGTCATCATGTTTGCAAAAATCATAGCAGAAAACACCTGTAAATAGAGGCATTTTTCTGAGTGAGAGAAAGAAACATTTTAATCTACCAAGTCCAGATAACAGATGAAAACAATGACATGTATTCTGCTCTAACCACCCCCTGCACTGTTAACGAACCTCAGAGCAGGTGTTATTAAGGAGGTTTTACTTAGTTTATCTGAAATGCTCCCCAGTAGAGCAGTAGAAGTGAACAGCTGGTGGAGGTTTTATACACTTGCAGTGGAAATTAAAGCTTCACAAATGTTTTATTTTCAGCTATAATCCTTTAAATTATAGTAAATGCATGGCTTGAGGTGTTTAAAACATGTGGCGAGTAATTGATAACGTGTTTCTGTGAACAACAAGGACAGTACTCTAGATCAATGATGACTGTGAATTGGGTAAATCAACCCCAATGAATGAAGCTGAGAGAACAATAAATGCTGGTTACATGTAGAACATTCCCTAGAAGCTATCTGAAAGGGGAAATGTGGAGCAACAGCTGCTGCTTCGTCATACATAGCAATGTAGTACCTTGCAGGAAAGCAAATATGCCTTACAAAAAAATTTAAAAGGTTCTGGAAAACAGCTCAACAAGCTAAATAAGAGGACCGGCTCTGTTCTAGGAACTCCTGTAGAACCTCTATTTCACAAAGAAGAATTATAAATAAAGTGAAGAACATTATCGACAACATTGAGTATCCTCTGCAGAAGACTTTTAAACGACAACAGAGTGTCTTCAGTAAGAGGCATTTCCAGATCTGGTGCAAGACAGACCACTACAGAAGATCCTTCCTGCCTACAGCTATCATCACGGACAATACTTGTCCAAAAAAATTAGTTACTGCAACATTTAATTTCCCTTTGAAATTAGTTATTTATTTTATTTGAAAATCTAATAAAAATAAGTCAGTAAAAACTTGTTACAGTATGTATTTGTATGCAGCTCTCTACAAGGGATTACTTTTGTAGATGAAAGGGGAAAAAGAGCACTGCATTTCTGAGCACAAATCTTAGAATTTCTGAGAATTTCAAATTTTCCAGAAAAAATAAATCGGTTAATCTATAAAATAATAATAATAATAAAACTAAACTAAAACATCTCCATGATTTAAAGGTGATTTTGTTTTACATGTAAATGAAGATATTTTACAAAAAATGCCAGAAATTCTGATTTAAGTTTTAGATTAATAACACTCTTTTCCATACATCTTATAAAGTGTAAGCGATAGCCTACATTCAGACTCTTTTCCACTGTTACAACAAATTCCTCCACTTGCTAACTTGCCAGGAAAGCCAACTGCAGAAACTGCTATCAACAGAAAAAAAAGGAATATAGTTGACTTTCTAAGCTCGTATTGCAACAGTTTGACCAAGCCATGTTGAGGTGTCCTTCTTGCTGTCTTCTCATAAAGTTTAAAGTATTTATGGCAAGGTGGATGATCATACAAACTCCTGATAGCACATTTGAACACATTAGCTCCATCACTACAATTTCGCTAATCCCAATACAATATTCCTCTGCCTGACAAACTCCTTATCAAACTATGGATTTGAGGGTTTGAACCATTTTTCCACATTTGGAGATTTTTGGTAATTCCTTTTTTTTCTGTCAGATTCCATTGAGGTTGTCTCTGAAGATCAATTCCCAAGTACTTCTAACTGCATTTATCGAGATAGCTTTAGTTAGCTTTAAGCATTACTAAAACATTATAAAAAACAAGTGACTAACATATCCATAGCTGCAACTGTTTTAGGTTATCATCTGGTTGAGATGTGATTCCCTTTCAAAAGCTGAATCCATCATCCTATAAACTCTTTCCTGTTTCTGGTAAAGAAAAAAAAAAAAGGCGTCTCTATATTATAAAGCTTTTGCAGCCATGTGTAACTGTGGGGAGGCGTTCAGCATGATCTGCAGTGTTATTTTTTCACCGCACATTTTTTTACATGCAGGTTGAAAAGTTCAGATTTGGTCTTGTTTGACCAGAGCAAATTCCCTCGCTTTTGGGATTCTACAAATAAACCTTAAAGCCTTCTTCCCAAACAGGCAGGATTGGTGTAGTGCTACACTGTGGTTCTGCAGCTGTTGTGCCATACTCTTTAAATTGAAATGTTCAGAGCCAGATAGTTTGTTTTATAACACCAGATTCATCCTCCTTAAAACTTTATTTCTGACCTCTCTGGTCCGTCAAAGAACAGCGGGATTTATATTATGGTTATGTGACTTATGAGGGAATGAATCTATAGGCAAACCATGTATTTAGATATTTGCTGGAATAAAAAGAAAAAAAGAGTTTGATTCTTCCAAAAAAAAAAAAAAAAAAAGCCAAGCAGAACAACTCACCCTAAAATGCCAAACATTTTTCGTCATCCACCTTTCATTTTTATTTTTTACGTAAGGGTCACCCTGCTTTTTTAAAAAGCCAAATGTCAGTCTTCCTTTGCCTTGTCTTTTATCATCTTGGGTTTTTTTATTAGCATTTTCAAATTTACAGACCGTCATCAATAAATCCTATTCATTTCCTTTGCTGTGTTTATTGGGGATTTTTTTTATGTGGAAAAAGATGAAAGGGTATGAATGCTTTTGCTAGGCATTGTAAAAGAAAAAGAGCATGAAACTGAAATATTTTGATACTGAATCTATCTGATATATAGCACACCTGTGACAGAAAAAATGTTTTCATCTGTTTAGCTTCATTTTAGTGTTTATTCTTAGAGTATATTTTTTCACTCATTTCCAACCATCTTTGTTTGTTAGAAAAAGGTACAACACTTTAGGGAGGGATCAGCTGTATCTATTTTAAAGTTAAGTCTGAGCACAGCATTCAATTTCTCTTCATAAAACACTTCCAGTCAATCACCTTATAGAACGGCTTGTTTCTCTACAACAATCTTCAGCAGCGGAGAAAGATACAAATAGAATGGGGAGTTGAAAAGTCTGTTTTGTAAAATCCCAGATAGAATAATGCAGTATGAATATTCAAGATGGATATGAGCACCGACACAAGCGACAAACTCTAAAGTAAAACATGGTGGGAAAAAGAGATTTGCATCACTGCATCACTAAATTTAATCAACTTAAAAGTTAATTCCTTGAAGATTTGGATCTGTGTGGAGGGGAATTTCTACAGCAGCAGTAACTGGTCCATCCTTCAAGGTTTACAGAGAACAAGACAAGCACAGTCAAAAAATATCAATATAAATATATATACTGTAGGTACACCTGTCCAACTGCTCGTTAACACTTAATTTCTAAGCAGCCAATCACATGGCGGCAACTCAGTGCATTTAGGCATGTAGACATGGTCAAGACAATCTCCTGCAGTTCAAACCGAGCATCAGTATGGGGAAGAAAGGTAATTTGAGTGACTTTGAACGTGGCATGATTGTTGGTGCCAGAAGGGCTGGTCTGAGTATTTCAGAAACTGCTGATCTACTGGGATTTTCACGCACAACCATCTCTAGGGTTTACAGAGAATGGTCCGAAAAAGAAAAAACATCCAGTGAGCGACAGTTCTGGGGGCGGAAATGCCTTGTTGATGCCAGAGGTCAGAGGAGAATGGCCAGACTGGTTCTAGCTGATAGAAGGGCAACAGCGACTCAAATAACCACCCGTTACAACCAAGGTGGGCAGAAGAGCATCTCTGAACGCACAGTACGTCGAACTTTGAGGCAGATGGGCTACAGCAGCAGAAGACCACACCAGGTGCCACTCCTTTCAGCTAAGAACAGGAAACAGAGGCTACAATTTGCACAAGCTCAT